GGGAAAGAAAGAGACAGTTAGATAAGAAGATGGGAAAGACAAAGGGAGATTTCAAATGTTCCTGTATCGCTATGAATTCTTCAGAGCTTACCTGAACCAAACTGAAAAACCTTTGATACTTGCCTATAATGAATCTTTATAATTGTCTCCTTTGAATTAGATTGCTCATTACTTACATTTCATGTAGTTTGGGAAGATTGGAAAACACATTTTCTTCTATGACCTCCAAGGCATCATTCTGTGAGATCTCTCTGAAAAATAATTTAAAAGTCAAGATATTTCAAGCCATGCTGTCAATGAAAAGGTGAAGCACAGAATGGACTAGTGAAAAATTCACATGGAACTTCTTCCAAGATTATTGATCAGTTTTAAAAACAAGGTGGATATCAGATAAGAAAGCAGACCCCAGAGACACTGATGAGCTGCCACCAAGGCAAGCACCAGCAGTCAGGAACAGACATCTTCTGAGGCTGCAGTTTCTATCCATAATGGCAGTCCTGCACCTTCTGCTGTCACCATTCTCTGCGTATTGCAAGGCAGAGCCCATCCATCATTGGCCACTGGATCTCTGACATCATTAATTACTGATAGAGATTTAATGAAAGCTTTTAACTCAGTGAAGAAGAGAGGGGGTGAAAAGAGACTGAAATAGAGAAGACCACTAAATAGTTCCCAGGAAATATGGCACAACTTCAGCAGTAGGACATGCTGCTGTCTTGACTACAGAGATTAAAATTAATCCACTGGCACACACATCCTTATTAACAGGAGCTGGAGACCACGGATGTAAAGAAGTCTTCCATACCTTGGAGAAAACCCTGTTTGATCTCTACTGTATACTATTAATGCCCACTTACAGCCACTGAACTGTAGAATAAAAATGGCATGTTTTCTGTTATCAACACACCAGAATGCATCTCCTGCTGGTCCACAGCACGTATTTCTTTGCTTCCTTAATCTGTGGGATAGCAAAGAGATGTCTCAGGCTCTAGTGTAATTTAGAGCTCAGGAGTTCTCCCGGTAAATCAAGGGGGAATTACTGCAGTGCAACCTGTCCCGATTACATCCCTTATGCTGCCAGTGACCAGGAAAGTCAAAGTAAAGACAGCTATACCAAAAGATTCCTTACTGCCATGTTTGGAAATGGTGCAAAAATGCTGTTTTCCCAGGCTGAGGTCAGCTGTAGGAAGTAAAATTTATAATACAGATATAATTCAATGATAGTGTGGTGGTCTATTGGATTTTAATGGCAAAGTAACTGTGCACATCTTTGGAATGAAACCTTGGATAAATAGCTTGTAAACTGGCCAGCACTTGTTCCTGGATATCTTGTTCTTTTGGAATTATGATGGGTGAAATTGTTCTTTTGGAATTATGATGGGTGCAAATAGATTCAAAGAGGCCTGAGGTAAAACAATGGATTGTAACAATAGGTGCACAGTAAAAAAAAAAAAAAAAAAAAAAAAAATCACAAAAATTATTAAATGTAATATAAAAAACATTCTATGTCCGAGTAACAACTGAACCATACCTGACAAATTACCTGCCCATTTAAGACAAACAAAAGCCTTGCAAAAGAACATAAGTTGTTCATCTGACCTTTTCTGCTTTAAAAAAACGCCTCAGTGGTTTGATATTTTTTAGTTTAATAAGAAGCTCTCCCTCCTGTTTCCTCAAGGTTTTTTACAGAAGAAATCCAGCTCTTCTCTGCTCTGGGAGCTCTAAATTGACTGGAGAACAAGAAAATAAAAGTACACGAGGTCTGACAATGGGTGCTCGGTAGGGGTGGTGAGAACTGGGTTTGTTTAGCAGTGCTGAACTACCAGCTCACGTATGAACGTGTTCCTCTCTATTATTCAGGTTTCAGCAGCAACAAAATGCTTTGACTGAGACTGGGATTCCTTCCTACCACACGAGGTACACAGCCATTGCAAGGAATGTTTCAAAGACTTTTTATTATCTTCCTCTTTGCTTTAAAAATAATGCATTATAAGATATACGGTAGAAGCAATCAATCACCCCCTATGCTGTACCTATATGAAAGTACCATTCAGTTGTTTACCTACAGCCTAGAAGATTTAACAACATGGGAGGCATCTCAGACTTTTAAGATTTGGCTTGGTTTTGCTCATGCTCTTTTTGGGTGGTCAGCAGTATATTTGCCATTCCCCACAACCTAAAAATCAGTTGTCTAGAAATAAAAAAAATCACAGAAAAAGCAGAACATTTAATAGCAACAAATCCATTTAGCCAGAAGAGATTTCATGCCACTAAACAGCTCAGGGAAAAATATTGCAGATTTGTTGGCCTTATACAGGCAAAAAAAGTTTATTAAGAAACCACAGTACAGTAGTGACCTCACCCGACAGATAGGGCTGTCGAGGGTAATAATTTTTTTATGATCCAATCTGCTATCTAACTTTGGAACAACTTGGACGATATACCTCTTTTAATGGAATGCTTAAAACCGAATGTTTCTGCATCAGAGAGTGTTTTGGCTTCCTAAGAGCAGGATGGGTTATGGGCTTTGTTTCGGTTCGGTAAATGGAAGATACGGATCTAATTAAAGCAGGGCATGAGCAGGCCACCACACTTTGGAAGGCTTGGAGAATGCATGGTTAAGGAAGGAATGAAAGAAGAAGAATATAGCAATCTCTGAACTGTTTTTACAACATTAAGTTTTTAAAAGAGTAAGTTTTTAAAAGAATTAAATAACACTTGTATGGGGGAGGGAGGTTTTCAGAGATTTGGAGAATGACTTGGCTTTCATTCTAATATTCCCATTCCTAGGTACAAAGGCAACAGTCATTTTTTTAAACAGGTAATGAAAATACATCCGCTTAAAATTATTTTTGCAGTCTCCCAGCTCAAGCACACAACTGCTGCAGCTGTTGCGGTCATGAGCCTCTCAGAAGAGGTAAAGGGAGCCAAAGGGAAACGTGTCAATGGCAGAAGCAGTAACCCATCTGGTGCTGGGCTTCGTGCTCTCTGTTCAGGGGATTGCGGGGGGTGAGGGAAAAGGACAAGACCCTCTGTCCCCCGCAATGAATTGTGCGTCCTCTGCTACACTGTCTCCAGGAAATCTCCTCTTGGTGACGACCTTACTCATCACGGTTCTTCGCAGATGAATCCCAGTTTACAGCACTAAAGGGTTGTTTTCTGACAGAAGGCCATTGCTATTCTTCTCCTTTGGGGTGTCCACATACCTGTTACAGGTTGTCATTCAGGTAGGAAGGATAACTCAAAAACAAAGCCCATTCAGTTTAGGAGATCACACACTGTGAAGAACAGGCAGCACTAATCTGGATTTTTGTTGCATAATTTGCATGAACAATTTATTCGTACCTGGCAAAAAATTCTCCCCCTGCTTATGGATAATGGAAAGAACAGTATCTGGGATACAGGTATCTATCTCTGGTGTTAAAAGTACAAACCACTGCTGCTCAATCAAACCACCGACTCAGCAGACTGAGATCCTCTGTAGAGCAGAGTAAATAATACCTGCAGCAGCAGCTACAAACAGAAAAAGGAGATTGCTGGCTAGTATTTGTGCAAGTGATTTGTCTTACAGTATAAATACACACAAACAGATGATTGCTTATAATGCATATCTTATTATATGTCATCATGAGAGAAGATGGGACTGTTATTACGTTGTTTGTTTGTAATGAATGATACTATTAGCTCTACTGCTAGCTATCACAGCAAATCCAGACGGCAACTTGAGCGTCATTTCTGATGCATACAAGCCTTTGAATAGATGGTATGCAAAACGATCAGGGGCAATTTCTTAAAAACCCCTGAACCTCCAAACCCCCAGACGACCCCATCCTTGCAAAGTGGTTAGGTGTCTGCTAAGCTTAGTTTCCACTGCAAGCACGGCTCTATTGAAATCAACAGTGATCCTCAAAAACATAAGTTTTTTACTCAAACACAGCCTAAAAGAGGAAAAACCTTTCAGTAAAAATATTTTACAAAGGCACAAAGGATAATTGTTTTTATTTTTCTTCAAAGAGAATGCAAGACTTTAAGGTGTGACAACATCACACAAGTAAGGAATTTCCTCTAATTTGCCACTAACGTAGCAAACTGTAATCGTGATTACCTGCTCACAAGCAACTGACTGCAGTGTAGCATTTCCATGAGTGATAGCCAGAGCCAGTGACAGTAGGAAAAGAGATGGAAAACGAAGAGGAGGAGGAAGGTGCTGCCCAGTGGCAGTACAGTCGTAGCTGGGTTTAACCTGCCTGCAAAGCTGCCCTTAGGCAGGGCTCGGAGTACATCTTCGTGACATTTGTGACAGAGCCCAGCATGAAGCATAGGAAGCATTCCTCTTCAACCCAGCTCCACTCAAAGTGCGACCCATAAAAACCAAGATACATTGAAACGGCATTTAAACTATTCTATTAGCAAGGAATTTATAGTTCATGGCAGTTTCTTTGTAGTCCTCAAGAAAAAGTCTGTTAGGCTAATCAAAGTCTTACAGCAAAAGCAAGACTGTATTAAACTCACAAACTAATGGTCTCGCAGCCAAGTGGTCTCACATTTCAAAATAATGAAAGAATAAAAGACTGGACATTTATATGGCTTTTATGATAAGAATTCCTTTCAGGATCAGAGTGGAGCACACAGACAGGGACAGGGTCATTTTTTCCCCTGCTAGGAAATGTGCCTATTTAAACCAAATGTGTCTGTATGTGTGTATATGTACAGGTACAGAAGTTTAACACAGATGAGTAAGTGGAAACCTGCGTCAATAGAAGAGCAAAGCACACGCATGGCAGAAGACCAGCTTAGGGCAGATCACAGCATCAGTCCTGTACACGGTGCCCAGGGATGTACGCTCTCGAGCACGGAGACTTTGTAATACCAGCAGCAGGAAGGACATAGAGCAACCGGTGCCCAACTGGTGAGTTGGCTGCATGACAGCCACAGTAAACGTGGGATTTATGGACTTCTGCGTTTCATCTCCCTGCGGCAGACTAGCAGAGAGGGCTGCCCCGTGTGTCGAGGTTTCTCAGGCACTTGTTTGGTGCGTGCACCTTGCCCACAGACGTGGCACGTGGCGTGAAGGGGGGATCTCCCCCCTGCTCAGCCACACTGCCCTCCTCTGTGGTGCGGGGTGCGACCCACCCCCTGCAAACTCCCGCAGCTTCCCTTAAATTCCCTTCCAGAGCAGGTACGTACATGGGATAGACCCTTGATCTGCTCACCTTATATTTCCTGTGATACATCATAATTGGGACTTTTG